GGGCACCAAGCCCTGGCCCCAAGTCTATCTTTGGAATTCCCTGGGGACCTCACCGCTCTGTTCCCTTGCTGTTCTGTTGCACCCCCTTAGTGTTTTGCCTCGGTGTGGCGGGATCAGATCAGGTGCAATTGCCACACTATGTCTCCGGTGTTGTCCCCTGTAGGGCTATGGGTCAGTGAGGGGCATCGTGCCTCATAGTGGGGCCAGCCATGTGGTTCTCTCTGTGGACTGGCTGCTCTAATTGGGAACATCGTCCTCAAGGCTTGGTGAGCCAGGATGTGCTCCACTCTCTCCTCCTCCCCCTTCATCTGCTCCCATGTGCTCCGATCAGATATGTTCCTCTCCTATAGCTGCATGTTCAGTGACGTCCTTTGAAATAAATTCTTCTGTGGGGAGTGGCAGGTGTCCACGTAGTAGTTGGGATTGGGGCCGGCCCCTCAGACCTCTCCACTGGTTCCCTACTCCGTGCCGGCATGTTGCATTCACACCTTGGAGCACTGAGTTGAAATCTGGTCCCTCTTTCCCTGTGGAGATATGAACAATACCCTCTCCTTGGGTGGGTTAGTGCCCTGTGTCCCCGGTACCCATTTCTCTTTTATTATTTTTTTTTCCTTTCCCCATCTCCTTTTTAGTTGGCTGCCATATGTATCCCTGGATTTGGTCTGGCTAGCATCTTTTAAAAGTGGTTCTCCAGCTGCATGAAAGAAACCCATCAACATCAACCACGATTCCTGGAGAGCCTTTCCTTAGAGGGCACTCATAAGAGGCAACTGGAGAAACTAGCCCTGAGCTGTCACTGGCTGCCTATTGAGCCAGCAGCTGCTGTGAGTATTGGAAAGAATTGCAAGAATCCAAAGTAGGAGACTCTGTACTGCAGGTGGTCCGCCCTTCCCAGGCATCAGTGTCAAGGGGATGAACAGAGGACGTAGTGGCTGCCACAGTGAAAGCAGAGGCAGTGGTAGTGCTGCAGTGGGCGTGCTTGCTTGCAGAAGGAGGCTTGCATTCTGCTGTTGACCGACCATTACGGTGGTCAAGCCCCTTCTTAGCTGCTGGCCTCAGTTTCCTCATGTGAAACCATGGGATCAGACCCAGTCTCCAACTCAGCTTCTGAGTTTCCCCAGCGGATAGTGGCTAAAGGATGGGTCTGATGACTCACTGAGAGCCTCTTCAGGACTACATCCTGTGAGTGGGACAGGCTCTCAAGCCGTCAGTTGGGCTTTGCAGCCTAATGTTTGCATTTCCTCATTGTTTGTGCCCTGATGTTGATGGTGAGGATGTGGTTTTCCTGTGCCCACCCAGTGACGTCCTTCCTGCTGCCCATGCTCAGGCCTCCTTTAGCAACTATCCGCTCGGTTTCATCAGGAGCCCTCCAGTTTCCTCACTCTGCTTCCAGACATGGAATGATCTTTCTTTTGATTCCCAAGGCAGCTTCCCCTTCCTGGAGGAAGAGTTCCCACTTGGAAATCAGTCTTTTTTTGTGACAGTAAAATTCGATCACAGATGAGAAAGTGTGTTAGTCTGGGTTGACTAGAGAAACTAATCCAGAGACACTCATAGGTGTATGAGAGTGTTTTCTATCAAGAGGTAATTAGGCATCAGTAAAACATCCCGGTCCAGTCCAGATCAAGTTCGTAAGCTCAATATTAGCTCATGAATTCCTCTCACGCAGCACATAAAATGATGCCGAATGCAGGAAGATCACAAGCCAGTGGGTGGAAAGTCCTGTGGGTCCAGTGGCGGTGGACATATCTCTAGGGCTCTGGCTGTTATTAGCGTGGCTCCATGTGGCTTGGTAACAGGAAAGTGAAGCAGAAAGAGCATGTGTGTGCTGCCTCCAGGGAGGAAGACAGGAGTTCACAGAAATCCTCAGGAGAAGCCCATGGCCACACAGAACCAGCATTGGCTATGACTTGATTGACAGGCTAGACTCACTCTTAGCCATTGCCTTATTTGTTATGAATCCTTCTCGAATGGATTTGCTTCGTCTTTGCATTAGCTTTTTAAAGCTAGCGAGTCCGAGGTGACTTGGTAAAGGTCAGAATTCTAGATCTGCAAGCTGATGAAGGGTCAGAACTCCTACCACTTACTTGTTGGTGTCTGTTGCTATTGTATAGGCTCTGACTCAGCATGAAACCACGACTGGTCCGGTGCCGGCTTTGCTGCCCTTGGTATGTCGGCGCCCATGGTTGGGGTTCATGTGAATGCTGACTACCTTCCCACGATGGGATAATTCTCTAGTACCATGTGGGACAAGAATCATTTATTGTGATTCGTAGGATTTTCATCGACTAATGAAATTGCCGGGCACTTTTCCTTAGTCTGCCATATTTGGGAAGTTCTGCTGAATCTGGTTTACCGTGGGTGACCAGATTAGTATTTGAAATGTCGGGGGCACAATTCCCAGTGTGATAGCAACATGCAAGCCACCACTGTATGACCAACTTATGGACAAGCGGTGGAACACGTACATGGTAGTATTATTGGTCAATGTTGTTGAGTTGGTTCCAGTTCATAGAGCCACTACGTAGAGGAGGGAAAAGCATGGCCTGTCCCATCCCCAGTCTCACCATCATGACCACGTTTGAGCACACTGCTCCCCTAAAAAGTTACGGACTCGGAAACCTATAGGGGCAATTCTACCCTGCGAGACAAAGACTCGACTTCGTCTCTTTCTTTTGAGGGGCATTTTGGTATTTCTTCCAAGACAAGATGTATTTGTTCTTGTGGAAGTCTATGACGTCGTCAATGGTTTTCTTGGCCAACAGCACCGTTCAATTGCATCAGTTCTCCTGGGCTCTCCCTTACTCCTTGTCCCCCTTTCACGTGCATATGAAGTGATGGGAAACGCCATGGCTTGGGTCAGGTGCTCCTTAATTCTCCAGGGGACATCTTTGCTTTTAAACACTTTTTTTGTTTGTTTTCCCTTTTGACCTATTTTTAATTTATTTAATTTATTTTTTAAAATCAATTTACTGGGGCTCATACAATTCATCACAATACATAGATCAATTGTGTAAAGCACATCTATACATTTGTTGTCCTCATTATTCCCAAAATTTGCTTTCCTCTTGGGTTCCCGGAATCAGCTCATTTTCCTTTTTCCCCCCTCCCCTTCCCTTTCTCCTCCCCTCTCCCCCATGCACCCTTGATAATTTATAAATTATTATTGTATCTTATATTACACTGTCTGGCATCTCCCTTCACCCACCCCTCTCCTGCCCATCCCCCAGAGAGGAGGTTATCTGTAGCTCCCTGTGATCCATTTCCCCTTTCTATACCCCCTTTCCCTCCTGGTATCGCCACTGTCACCCATGGTCCTGAGGGGTTCATCTGTCCTAGATTCCCTGAGTTTCCAATTCCTATCTGTACCGCTGTGCATCATCTGGTCTAACCAGGTCTGCAAGGCAAAATTGGGGTCCTGGTAGTTGGGGGGAGGAAGCGTTTAAGAACTAGAGGAAGGTTATGGGTTTCATTATTGCTATACTGTACCCTAAGTGACTCATCTCCCCACTACCCCTCTGCAAGGTATGTCCAGTTGTCTAGAGATGGGCATTGGGTCTCCATCACGCGCCACCCTCATTGACGAGGATATGATCCACCCCCACCCACCTTTGGTGTTTAAAGCTTGGTCCCTTTGGCCCTTCATGATCACACATGTTGGTGTGCTGCTTCCATGTGGGCTTTGTTGCTTCTGGGCTAGATGGCTGCTTGTTTACTTTCAAGCCTTTAAGTCCCCAGACGCTATAGGTCTCGATAGCCGGGCACCATCAGCCTTCTTCACCACACTTACTTATGCACACATTCGTCTTCAGCGTTTATGTGGGGTAGGTGATCACACAATGATGGTTTTTGTTCTTTGGTGTCTGCTGCCTGTTCCCTTCAACACTTCGTGTTCGCACAGGCTCGTGTGCTTCTTCTCTGTGGACTTTGTTGTTTCCGATCTAGATGGCCGCTTGTTTGCCTACAAGCCTTTAAGATCCCAGACGCTATATCTTTTGATAGGCGGGCACCATCGGCTTTCTTCACCACATTTTCTTATGCACACATCTGTCTTCAGCGATCTAGGTGCAAATAATTATTGGTTTGGTAATAGGGTGGCAGGTGGACTTTGGGCCTCCTTGTGTGCACTCCCCTAATACAAGAGCACCTTGCTCAACTAAACGGTCATTTTATGATATCTACCTTCCCGACATGATCGCTTTAAAACACTTTAAAGAAGTCTTTGGCAGCAGAATTGCTCAGACGAAGATGCACTTTGAACATGTTATCAGGAGAGACCAATGCCTGCTGAATAAGGTGGAGGGTCCGCCAAGAGTAAGACCCTCAAGGAGGGGGATTGACAGTGACTGAAACAATGAGCGCCAGCACCTGGAGGAGGGCCCGGCCCCAGGCCGGGTTTCACTCTGGTGCATGCTCATCAGCACCTCATGCCGACAACAAAAAGCATGCTAGTCTGAGAAGAAGGGCCTTATGACCTACTTCCCAACATCCGTCACTGAAGGGCATGTGGATCACCCTGATCTGATTGCACCTGAACTTGGGAATGCCTTCAGGTTGGGCCGTGTTGGTGCTCTTGCATACCGCAGGGCCAGGTGCTGAGGCGGACTCCAGCAAGTCCCTTCCTGCAGACGGAGTTTGCTCGCTGCAGATGTAGACAGCCTCCCTTCTGCTTCAGCGAACGAGGACATTGTACAGGCCCCTGAGATCTGCTCCTGACTCTCCTAGAAGCCCTCACCTGGGACAGCTCCCCGGAATCACGCTGCAGGATGTAAACCACCCCAGAGCCACGCATCTCAGCCATTGGAGCTGCCGGTTTTAGATTACTTGGCGGTGAGGGGAGGAGGCGAAGCAGGCTGGGCTCCCAAGACCTCAGGTCCTTTCCGCAGTGCCAGCCTGAGCTCTCCACCTGCCACAGTGAGACCGGGCAAAGGGAGGTCTTGTACCGGGACGCATCCCATTCACTGAGGGGCAGGAAGACAGCACTGCCTGGCTGGGACGTGATCGTCCCGGGAGAAAGATGAATTGGCCCCATTCCTGCATCTCCTTTTGTTGGATTTACTTGGCTGCTTCCAGGCTCAAAGGTGAGTGAGGGCGGCACGTAAGCACCCGGGCTAATTTGGGGGCCTTTTCTTTGGTGGGGGTGGAGTGGGGTGGGGCCTGAACAAGGGCACACATGCTCTAACTGCATGGAAATGGTCCAGGCTTCTTCCTGACTCATGTGGATCGGGGTCAAAAAGCCAAACCAGCTGCCAGAGAGCCGAGTCTGACTCATGTGTTTCCGAGTGAAGCGGCACTCTGTGAGGTTTCCAGTGGCTGTGATGCTTGAGAAGTAGGCCGCCAGGACTTTCTCCAGTGGGCCTCTGGTGGGTTCATTAGAAGCTGTGCATTTAGTCATTTGCATCATCCAGGGGCTCCCTGATCTGAGTCTCTCTCTCACCACCACCCCGCCACCCACCCCCACATACAAGCAAACCCACTTCACTGCCGTCCACTCCATCCTGACTCATAGCAACCCAACAGGAGACGGTAGGACTTTCTGACACCCTAACTCTTTATGGACGTGGAAAGCCTCATCTCTCTCACACAGAATGACTGGCATTTTCAAACTGCCGACCTTGTGGTTGGCAGTTCAACGTGTAACACGCTACACCACCAGGGCTGAGTAGAGCATATCAAAAACAACTCTTATGGATCCAAAGTTTATCTCTAACCAATGGCTCGGTTGGCCAGGGCTGTAGACCTCAGTCTGGTACTCTTTGCCTTGAAATACACAGGACACCTCAAATTTTGATCCGGGTCCCTCTTTTTGAGCAGCTGTAGAGTCAGCAGATGGAAAGTATGCTCAGAAGTTGTTTAATGACCTTTTTGAAGATTACACCAATGCTCTCCGTCCAGTGGACGACACGGATACGGTCCTGAATGTCACCCTACAGATCACGCTCTCTCAGATCAAGGACATGGTGAGTAACACAGGGTGGCGTCTCTCCTATGCTGCTTAGAATGAAACGCAGCTGTCCTTGTGAAGGGAATGGCTGGGGGCTGACGAGGGATGAGAGCAGACAGTTCTGTGTGCACGTTGGTGGAAGAAAGGAGTTCTAGGGGAAGTGTTCTCCCAAATTGATTCCACTACATGTTATCTACTGCTAGCCATTCAGCATAACCACTGTAGATCATCTAGAAGAGCACTGTGGGCTGACACACTGTATGAGTCCATTGATAAACGCGGGGTCAACCCACAGAGACAGAAAGCGGATCAGTGGTTGCCGGGGGCGGAAGTCAACGGCTGTGGGGAGTGACAACACTGTCGAATGAGGGGACTGCTCTGGGGTTACTGGCAATGCTTGCACAATATTGTGAAACCATCTAATTATGAGTATCAAAACACCTTAAAGTGATGAAACTTGTGATATATACATTTTACGTTAGTTATTTGTAAACACTGGTGTTTTAAGATGGCACGCCTTATTCGGGGTTTGTGTGTATTAATGATGGAAAACTATGAAACCTCGGGGATGGTTTGCTGCTCCTGTTCATTGTAGATATGCACGACTTTCTCAGAGATGTCTATTTCGTGTGCATGGGGTCTCAGAGAACTTTGACCCATGATATGTCTGATTTGTCTACTTGACATCTTGAACCCTAAGTCGAGTATGGGAAAATGTGGCCTGAGTCACTGGAGATCCCCTTGCAGAGGGGATTAGGGGAGGAGATGAGCCAGTCAGGGTGCGATGTAACAACGATGAGAAATACAACTTTCCTCTAGTTCCTAAATGTTTCCTCCCCGCTCCCACTACCATGACTTGAATTCGACCTTTCAAGGCTGGCTAGACCAGAGGATGTACACTGGTACAGATAGGAACTGAAAATCCAGGGAATCCAGGGCGGATGAGCCCTACAGGACCAGTGGTGTGAGTGGCGAAACAGGGAGGGTAGAGGGACAGTGGGTAGGAAAGAGGGAACCGATTACAAGGAACTATATGTGACCTCCTCCCTGGGGGACGGACAACAGAAAAGTGTGTGAAGGAAGACGTCGGACAGGGCAAGATATGACAAAATAATAATTTATAAACGATCAAGGGCTCATGAGGGAGGGGGGAGCGGAGAGGAAGGGGAAAAATGAGGACCTAATGCCGGGGGCTTAAGTGGAGAGCAAATGTTTTGAGAATGATGAGGGCAATGAATGTACAAATGCGCTTTACACAATTGATGTGTGTATGGATTGCGATAAGAGTTGTATGAGCCCCTAATAAAATGATTTAGAAAGAAAATGTGGCCTGGGTCTCCATCAAGGGAATAGAATTTTAAAAGCTCTCACCCTCCATACTAAAATTTTAAAAATTATAAATTTAAACCACTACTGTCAAGTCTATTCCAGCTCATAGTGACCTTCTAGGACAAAGGACAACGGTCCCCTGGGGTTTCCAAGGTCATCATCTTTACAGAAAGAAGCCCTGGAGGACAGCTGGTTAAACATTCAACTGTTAGATGCAAGGTTGTTTGTTCGAAACCCGCAGCCAGTCTATAGGACAAAGATGTGACAGCATGCTTAAAAAAAAAGATTAAACCAAAAAGCCCATTGCTGTCGAGTGGATTCCAACCCAGAATGACCCTGCAGGGTGGAGCCAAACTGCTCCCCGCTATTTCCAAGACTGGGATCTTTATGAAGGCAGACTGCTCCCCTGTCGAGCTTTCGGTTAGCAGCTGAGCACCGGCCCCTGCGCCCTTGGCTCCGTGAGAACAGGTTCCTGCTGTGGAACGTCCACTGTGAAGAACAAGTGGTGGTCTCCGCTTCCTCAGGCTGCTCTGAGAGGTATACCACAAGAGGGTGTTTCACAACACAGAAATCGACTTCCTCACAGTTCTGGAGGCTGGGAGGATCGTCTGGTTCTCAGCAGTGACTATTCCTTCTGGGAGCTTCTCTCCTAGCTTCTGGTGTTTGTTGGCACCACTTGAGGTCCTTTGTTTATAGCCAAAACCCACATCCATCTTCTGCCGTGTGTGTGTGTGTGTGTGTGTGTGTGTGTGTGTGTGTGTGTGTGTATCTGTGCTACTTGTGATATAACTCAGAAGTGGGTCAGTTTTAGTATCCACCCTACACTGGTAGGGCCTCGCCTGATTAATTGACTACAGTATTAGATTGCATCAGGGAAAGGTCGTTCCTCACATTACATTAGCTACAGGCACAGGGGCTGGGATGCCAGTATATACTTTGGGAAAACATCATTCAATCCATAACAAAAATCCTTTGGTCAAGGCATCTACTAGATAATGTGACATGGAGGTTCATTGTGCAGGATGAAAGAAACCAAATTCTGACTGCCTATCTATGGATCCGACAAATCTGGCACGATGCGTATCTCAAGTGGGATCGAGACCAGTATGACGGATTGGACTCCATCCGCATCCCCAGCGACCTGGTCTGGAGGCCGGACATTGTCCTCTACAACAAGTAAGCACACATCAGGGCTGAAGTTCGTCGGAAACGGGTTTCAGTGGGTTGACTGAACAGAATGAAAACATTTTGTCTTTTCTTTCTTTTCTTTTTTAAGGAATGTTCCAGACATAGATGGTGTTAAGTACCAATCCATGTGTCTAGCCTTTGCCATCAATTTGATTCAGCCTCCTAGTGATCTTAGAGGACAGAGTAGTGCCTCCCCCTCTCTAGACCCTTATGTTACTATTATTTCATGACCTAAATCTTATGACTATAAAAACTTTGAATTAGAAGAATCTCAAATCCAGCTGATCTAAATTCCTCCCTTTAGCTACGAAATTGAAAACCCTCACTTGTCCAAGATCTGACATTAAAAACAATGACATTGTTTTTGAAAACAATTGAATTGTTTTGAATTCAAAAGGAATTGAATTCAAAAGGACTGACTATGAGCCATATTGTGGATTTCAGATTGTGTGTAGGGTGAAGGATAAATTAGATTATAAGATCACCAGTTGGCCTATTCCTGGTCTCAGAGCAAAAGTCCTCAGGTTTATGTTTCCCAAACTATCTTATGCACACAAATAATCATTTGGAATCTTGCTAAAATACAGATTCTGATGCAGTAGGCCTGGGATGGGGCTTGCATTTCCAGATAATTTCGGTGCTGCTGTTCCACACACCACACTTTGAGAAGAAACTAGATTGCTCCATCACAATATCAAGTCTAATTGCTCTGCCTGGGTTCACCCTAATTCTATTTTGGACCCCACTTCTGTGGGTTGTGAAAGGTCCTTCTGTGAATGAGGTGAATTTGGGGCAGCAAAGAGAAGTCCCCTAGGCCTTTTGGTAGGCGTGAACTTCCCTTCGAGAAGCAACTTTGGTAAATCTAGCGTGGATTTCAGTCAGTTCTGCTTATTACTCAGAGCTTGTCCGTGGGTCATGATTTGAACACAGCCCTGATCCTGTTGTCCATGTCTCACTCTGAATGGCCAGAGGTGTCTTCATGGCCCATCCCAAGGACGCTAACATATGAGAGCTCATGCTCTGTCACTACAGTCAACCCCTCTCTCCGTGAACATGTGCTCTCTCTCTCTCTCTCTCTCTCTCTCTCTCTGTCACACACACACACACACACACACACACACACCAATAAAATGAGCCATAGAATCGATTCCCTCTCTCTCTTGCTCACATTCTCTAAGTTCTAACAATTCTCTTTGGAAACAATTAGAACGCTGGTCCTCTTCTTTATCCTGCCTTTGACTGACTGAAGCAATGACCAGTTCTTACTGAAATCACGTTTTTGGCAAAGTTGTATGGTGTATTACTTTCCTAAGGCTACCATAACAAAGTGACGTAAACCGAGTGACTTAAAAGAACAGGAAATGGTCATCTTACCGTTCTGAATAGTGCAAGTCTTACATGAAGGTGTTGGCAGGCCCATGCTCTGGGGAGGCAGCCTTCTTCTCCTCTCCAAGATTCACATGATCCCACATGTTACTTGGCTCATGGCAGCAGAACTCCGATCTTGCCCTCCATTTCCACCTGGCATCATCTTTCTCTATGTCTGTCTTCACATGGTGTCCCATCCTCTGCATCTGTCTGTCTCTCCTCTTCTTACGTGGACACCAGTCATATTAGATTAAGGGTCCACCCTACTCCAATATGGTCTTACACATTGTGCCTGTAATGATAGCATTTCCAAATAAGGTCACATTCAATGGGAAGGTGATTTGAACTTAAGCGTATCTGTTAGGTGTATGCAATTTAACTCATAACACATGATAATCTAAGTTAAGCCTACTGCAATGCCTTCTTATGGGAGGAGCCTGTTACATGCTCCTGAGCTCACAGAAACCTACCGGGGCTTTGATCGATTCGCTCACTAATTACTTTCCCCTTCAGATGAGGGGTTTGAGAGGCCGCGTTAAGTTCTTTATCCTGTGCCTTTATCCTTGTCACATAGAGCCATTTCACGAGGCGGGTAGATCCGCTCATTCCTGTAGCTCAGGGTTGATTTTGGAGGCATTTCCTCTTTGGCCATGGACAATTCCATTTCTGATTCTTTTGACCATTTGTCTTCCCAGCAACTTCAGCATTCTACAATATGAAAGGAGCTCTCAGGGAAGCTATCCACCACTCCTCTGTCATTTTGTCACACTGTGGTGGTTTCCATGGTGGTGTGATACTGGAAGCTATGCCACCACTACTTCAAAGGCCACCAGGGTTACCTGTGATGGAGAGGTTTCCCACTGAGCTTCCAAAGACAGAATAGAAAGAAGGAAGAGGCAGCTCATGCCTGAAAAATTGGACATTGAAAATATTGTGAATGGTGGCTGATCGTTATCTGGCACAGTGCTTGAAATATGCACTCCCACCATGTCATGTGGAAAGCACACAAGATATGACTGGGGAAGAGGCACCTCCTCAAAGCAGAGCAACCCTGAATAATGGAGATTGAGCACAGCTTTGGGGATTTCATTGGCTGGTGGGGCTCAAAATGAGTAGAAACAGCTGGAAACGTTCATTCATAATCAGAAGGTGGAATGTACAAAGTATGAATCAGGCAGATTGCAAGTTATCAAACGTTGAAATGGAACGTGTACAAGTCAATACCCTAGGCATTTGTGAACTAAAATGGACTGACATGCCCATTGCCAATCTGAAGGTCATGTTGTTTACTATGCCAGGGACAACACGTTCAAGAGCAATGGCATCACACTGGTCATTAAAAAGAACATCCCAAGTTCTATCCTGAAGCAAAGTGCTGTCCATGATGAGGTAAGATCCATACATCTGTAAGGAAGAACAGTTAATACAGCTATCATTCAAATGTTGGCACCGACCACGGAAGCCAGTAATGAAGAAATTGAAGGATTCTACCAATTTCCTCAGTCTGAAATTGATCAAACAGGCAATCAAGGTGCATTGAAATTATTGGTGATTGGGATGCAAAAATTGGGAAAAGAAAGGAAGGATCAATAGTGGGGGGAAATGGCCTTGGTGAGCAATTGAAGCTGGAGAGCGCATGCCATCATTTGGCAAGACCAACAACTTCTTTGTTGCGAAGACCTTTTGAACAACATAAACGGCAACGTGTGGGCCTTGGTCGATGGAATGCACAGGAGTCAAACTGATGACACCCGTGGAAAGAGATGCTGGAGAAGTCAGTATGTCAACAAGTAGAAAAGACTATTAATTACTAATATGCAAATTCAGGTTGAAACTGAAAAAAATAAGTACCCATTTACGAGAGCCCAAACAAAACCTTGAGTGTCTCTCATTTGAATGCAGAGACCCTCTGAAGAGCAGACGTGCCATAACTGCACGTTAATTACCAAGGACCAGAAGCGCTAGATGTGGGAAGACACGAAGAGACAAACGGTCATTAAAAAGAAAGACCAAAGTGGGTGTCAGAAGAGGCTCTGAGACTTGCTCTTGAACATTGAGTAGCTTCAAGAGAATGGAGGAAACGATATGGTAAATAAGCTGAAAGACATTTCAAAGGGCAGCTCAGAAAGACAAAAGTAAAGCAGTGTAATGATTTTTGCAGCGACCGTGGCTTTAAAAACCAAAAGGGAAGCGCATGCTTGATTGTTCAAACTGGAAGAAGTGAAGCAAAAATTCAAACCTGGAGTTCTTATACTGATGGATTCTATGGGCAAAATATTCAGCAATTCAAGAAGCAGCAAAAAAAGATGGAGACACTGTAGCAAAAAGAATTGATGGGCCCCTAGCCGTTCCAAGAGGTAGCATATGATCAAGAGCAATGGTATTGAAGGGAAAACTCCAAGCTGCACTACAGGCAGAAATTAACCAACGATGTCACTTCTATCACAGACAAGTAACATGTTACAACAATGGCTGTAGCAGTACATCACAGGGAACTGCCAGAAATTCAAGGTAGAGTCAGAAAATAGCATTTTTGATGCCAAATGGATCTTAGCTGTAAACAGAACATATCCTAAAAATGTTTGCTTGCAAGGAACTATATATGTGACCTCCTCCCTGGGGGACGGACAACAGAAAAGTGGGTGAAGGGAGACGTCACACAGGGCAAGATATGACAAAATAACAATTTATAAACTATCAAGGGCTCATGAGGAAGGGGGGGGAGGGGATGAGGACCTAATGCCGGGGGTTTAAGTGGAGAGCAAATGTTTTGAGAATGATGTACAAATGCGCTTTACACAATCGATGTGTGTATGGATTGTGATAAGAGTTGTATGAGCCCCTAATAAAATGATTTTAAAAAGAGATGTCTGCTTGTGTTTTACTGCCTATGCAAAGGTATTCGGCTGTGTGGGTCATCAGCAGCTATAGAGAACTTTGAGAAGAATGAGAATTCCAGAACACTTCCTCGTGCTCACTCACAGCTGGGACACGGGCAGCCAAATTGGCAGTGGTGGCCGCGTCAGTGTAATTCCCTACGGGAAACTGAAACGCGATCACCCCAAAGAATCAGCATCGATGTTGATCAAGAAAAAGAGAGCATCGGTCTGTCACAAATGATTAACTCCAAGATTATGAGTGATTGATTTTCCCTCGGTGTTACATAAATGTTTGATAGTAAGTATACTCAAAGGGGCTTCAAAAAGTCCCTGGGGAAAATGCCATTCCCTTTTCATTCAGTTTTTTCCCACAAACTTTTTTAAAAGAAGCCCCTCCTTAAGACAACCCTGACAACAGTAGCAACAACAACAACAACAACAACAGAAACAATCCCAGCAGCCTGGTTCTCAGAGGTAACAAACTCCGAAAAGCAGAGCCACCTGTCAAAGTTTAGCCTCGAGAAGGGTGATTTTTAGTTTTTGTAGGGTTTTTTATCTGGATTTTTGCACTAGGAGTGGCATTGGGAATGGAGAGCCAGGGCCATGGAGCGAGATGCTTTAAAGAATCTAAGGAAATGTGGGCCCGGGTTGGTTACAGGCACTGGAGAAAGGTAAAGTTAAAGTTGAGAAATGTGGCGCGTTGGTAAAGACGTTTGAGTGACAGCCACGGGCCAATGAGCTGTCTGGGGTAAGAAAGATGACGAGTTCTAGCCAGTACCTTCCATCTCCCTCTCTGACCCCTAGGGCAGACGATGAGTCTTCAGAGCCCGTGAACACCAACGTGGTCCTGAGGTACGATGGGCTGATCACCTGGGACGCACCAGCCATCACCAAGAGCTCCTGTGTGGTGGATGTCACCTACTTCCCCTTTGATAAGCAGCGGTGCAACCTCACCTTTGGTTCCTGGACCTACAATGGCAATCAAGTGGACATTTTTAACGCCCTGGACAGCGGAGACCTCTCAGACTTCGTTGAAGACGTGGAGTGGGAGGTTCACGGCATGCCTGCCGTGAAAAATGTCATCTCTTACGGCTGCTGTTCTGAGCCTTACCCGGATGTGACCTTTACACTCCTCCTGAAGAGAAGGTCGTCCTTTTATATCGTCAATCTCCTCATCCCCTGTGTCCTGATATCTTTTCTGGCTCCCTTGAGTTTTTACCTCCCAGCTGCCTCTGGGGAAAAGGTGTCCCTGGGAGTGACAATCCTCTTAGCCATGACTGTGTTTCAGCTCATGGTGGCAGAAATCATGCCGGCCTCAGAAAACGTCCCCCTGATAGGTGAGTCCCAGGCCCTTGCACTTGGAGCCTACTCGGCGTGGCTGCCTGGGGCTGTGTGTGTGTGCCTTTCAACTCCTAACCCTGGGACCAGCTTCAGCCTCCGTATTGGCGTCACATAATTCATTCGGTGCCTGCCGTCGGCCTCTTGGATAGCGATACGGCTTGTTTAAACAAGCCCTCTGCGTGATTAGGATGCACTTTCTGTTCCACTCTGAAAACCTCAGGTCAAGGGCCCTGATTTTGAAGGCAACAAAACCTGCATTTGAACTCTGATTTCACTACTCACTGTAATCCATACTCTTGGGCAAGTTGCTTCATCTCCGAGCCTAAGCAGCTTCCTCTGAGGTCTTGCTACCTCCTCGGCCTGTCATTGCTGAGCAAAGGACAAACACTGACTAAATAGGGAGGGGTCTTTGCCCCCCACACATTTGAGTTTTCTTCCTAGAAACAGTGGAAGTTATGATAGAAACAAGCTGAAATGTTTAGCTTGTCCTTGATAGTATAATTCCTAAGTTTTACTGGGTACAAAAGCTGTGGGAGAGCGGATTCCCATACCCAGAGAGTCTGATTTAGCTGTTTGGGACAAGATTTGAGAATAGTTATTTTTTAAGAAGCTCTTTTCCAAAGAGCCAGTGCTAATGAAAGGCCCTCCTGATGGTTGGGGTGTGGAGTAAGGCCACCTGCCTTGCCTCCCTTCACCTGGCCCTGCCTTCTTCTGAGCTCCGGCCTCCTGCCTGTAGCACCTACTGCTTGCTTCCAAGCCCACCCCTCAGACCCAACACCTAGCTCAAGGGCTGGCTGTTGTAACAGTTGCTTGCCAGAATCAGAAGCTCCATCTCATATTGAGCTCCTGAAAGTCAACAACGAAGAACTCGCAGAACACCGAAGGCCAGTAACAAATGCAGGTTCTACAGCCTTTTGACTCTGTGGACTTCAGTATGCCCCAATGTTCAGACATGACTACATGGGTTTGACTGGAGCTTTGTTTCTTTGATGTCCCTTCAAACAACACACACACACACACACACACACACACACACACACACACTCCTTCTCCGAAGTCTTCAGATAAAGAGGGGAGTTGTGTTGGCACTGTTACCTCTTCTGAGGCAGACATGAGCAATAGTGAAGAAGCTCAATCATAACCCTGTTTGAGGCAGGATCAACTGGCAAGCCTCACTCTCTCTTCTTTAATCCACCCCCTGGCATCATGTGGATGCCAACTCATAGCAACCCCATAGGGCCAAGGAGAACGGCTCACGAGAGTTTCCGAGGCAGTAAAGAGGCAGCAAATCTTTCTGGAAGCAGAATGCTTTCTCTTTCTCCTGAGAAGCAGCTGGTGGGCTAGGCTAATGCCGACCTTCCAGCTAGCACCCAATGCTTAACCCATCTGGCCAACAAGTTTTAGTTAACTTTAGTTAAATTCCTGAACAGAAATGCCTCACGGGAATTTTGTAAGCATGACATGTTCTGTGGTGTGATCGTGTGAAGTTTGTCTTTCCACGTGCACACGTATCCCGAGAACAATTTTTAATCATTGTAATTTGTTAGTTGCATCCATGTACTCCCCAAAGGAGACACAGATACATATAGGTGAGGGTTCAGATCAATACGATGAAGTTGTATTTGTTCTGTTATTGATTTATTAACTTAACAAATGTTTATTGAGCACCTAACATGCCTAGTTCTGTTTGAAGCGCTGATGACAGAGTAATGGGCACATCTGCTTAATGTGTGTCCCGGACTTCGGGAACCCCAACCTTGGGGACTTGGTTCTGGTTTCCTGAACAAATGAATGAATGAATTCACGGTCATCCAGTCAATTCTGACTCATGGCAGTCCTTCACGGCAGGTGGAAGCAAACCTGTGGGTTTCTGAGATTGTGACTCTTTATGGGGTAGAAAGACTCATGTTTCTTGTGAGGAGCAGCTGGTGGTTTCGAACTGCTGTCCTGAAGTCACGGTGATCTACCCAGACCTTATCCGTCCTGCTCCCCTGGTCCTCCATTGATCTTCTCTCTGTCCTCCAGCTTAGGCCTGCCCTTGTCTGGAGCCGTATTCTCCACCCAATTACCCAGTTGCTGAGGAGTCATCGGTGACGCCGGCCTCCTCTGCAGAAAGTGCGTGCAGGACGCATTCTTTCTCAAATCCCCAATCATTCATACATTTAGAACGCTGTCGACTTAGTTTTTATATCAAGCTATTGTTCTAATTCTTGAATGGCAACAACAGAAATCCAGAACCTGTTGAGATCGCACTGAAACTGTAGATTCGTTTAGAAAGAATGGATAAGCTTTATTACAATAAGTTGTCCAAGCGACACATGTTAGCACCTCCAGAGGAGTCCCACTGGGTGGGAGATGGCCAAGACCAGGCCACCAGGAGCAGCAGCCTGGCGTTGATCCATTCCATTGTTTGTATGTGTCTGGGTCCCCAAGAAGCACACAGCTTGTACAGGCACTAGCACGAATGCATTCTCGCAGGAAAGATAAGCAGAGTCATTTCTGGCCAGTGTTGGAGGTTCCACTGCAGGCACCCCTCTAAGGTGAAAGACCCTGTTCCCACCCTCGAAGAGGAGATGTTGGCCAGCGACCATTGACACACACAAGGAGACATAATAAAGAAGTGCACAACCAGCTCAGGGCCGGGAGGCATCACCATACAGCTGAACGTCCAGCACACGATTGGTGCTGGCTCCCTGTAAGAGCATGGTCCAGGCCCAGGACCCTGATTGGACAGCACAGAGGAGGGAAAGAGAGGACTTCTGTCTCAATAACTGTCCCATCCATGAACATGGTACAGCTCTCCACTTACGTAACTCTCCTTAAAAAAACCTTTCCTACCATTTATACTATTCCTCCCTAGTGAACTTGTACATTCTTGTACAAGAACCTGTGCCAGTTTTCATCAAGCCAAAAACTCACTGCCACCGAGTCGATGCCAACTGATAGCAGCCCTGTAGGACAGAGGAGAGCTGCCCCTGTGGGTTTCCAAGACTCTAATTGTTCAGAGGAGTAGAAAGCCCCATCTTTCTTCCGAGGAGAGGCTGGTAGTTTCAAACTATCAGCCTTGCAGTTAGTTGCCCAACTCATAACCACCCCAAACCACCCCTAACCCCCCTCCACCCAGGGTTATTATTTTGAAGAGCATCTTTTGTATGTAATATTTTATATATAGATTTTTTCAAAGATTCTTTTAGATGTATAGAAATAGAATGTATAGCGATACATTGATTTTTATAAATTGATGTCATGTTTAGTACCTTGTATTAATTTTGATATTTTAGATTTTTTAAAAGGAGTTCCAGGGGCCTTTGGGGTTAAATGCTGACTGTTAGTCAAAGGTCAGGGGTTTGAACCTACCAGCTGCTTCCTGAGAGGAAGAGGAGGCCATTTACTCCATTGAAAGTGGACAGTCTTAAAAACACTAGGGAGCAGTCCTACTGTCCGACAGGGTCGCTGTGAATCAGAATCCATTCACCAGCAGTGTGTTGAGTGTTGTGTTCTTTGTTTATACTTGACAATTTTTTAAGGTTCATCTTTTCCCTTGAGGAGCCTTAGTAGTGCCGTGTTATGTACTGGGCTGCTAACCAAAAGGTTGGCAGTTTGAAACCGCCAGCCACTCCGCAGGAGAAAGATGAGGCTTTCCACTCCTCTTAAGAGATACAGTCTCAGAAAGCCATCGGGCAGTTCTACCCTGTCCCGGGTCCCTGTGAGTCAGAACCGACATGATGGCAGTGAGTTTGAGTTTTGGCTTTTTTGAATCATTTCCCTGCTCTCTCTTGTTTTCTTTCCGGGAACAGTTTGATCACAGGTTGCTCTATTGCAGTACTCTTTCAGCTAGTCTTCGTTCATCTTCTCGGTGTTTTACTTTATGCTTCATAGATCTGCACCCTGACTTTATTGTTCACGTTCTCCATTTCCCTTTCCCTTGAACATTGGCTTTATAGAATCACGTTCAAGAGACTGATAAGCCAAGCACTATGCCATCGAGCAGACTCTGACGTGCAGAGTTTCTGAGACAGCAGGTCCTCAGGAGTCCATTCTCATCTTTCTCCTGCGGGCACACGGGATCTCGGATCTCGTTTCCTACTCAGTAGGAATAAAGACACTTCGTATTAATGAGATCTGAACATGATGTTGAGAAGTGGTCAAGTTCATGAATCAGTTTTGGAGATAGAAAAGTTTTCTCACGTCATGATCTCGGCAAACATTTCCAAATCTCTGAAGTGTGGATCGAAAGTGCTGAGAACTTTACTGGAGCCTCACCAGACTCCTTGCATTAGATATTGTTATGATACCCATTGTACTGGAAGGAGGCGAGGCTTAGTGAGATTACAGAACTTGCCACAGGTCCCATGACTAGTAAGTGACAGAGCTGGGATTTGACCCCAGACCTTTGATTCCAAAGTCTCTGCCAACAACCACCAGGACAGATCGCTCCTTTAGAATAGATCTCCCTTTCTTCCTTTTGAAGCCAAAGGATTTTAGGCTAACGTGGCTGTCACTATTTTTCTGATTCCAGGCAAATACTACATAGCTACGATGGCCTTGATCACAGCTTCCACTGCCTTGACCATTATGGTGATGAACATCCACTTCTGCGGGGCTGAGGCCCGGCCAGTGCCACACTGGGCCCGAGTGGTCATCCTGAAATACATGTCCAGGATCTTGTTCGTCTACGATGTGGGGGAGAACTGCCTAAGTCCTCGCCATGACAGGGGGCGGGACCACCTCACGAGGGTTTATGGCAAACTCCAGGAGCCTCGTGTGAAAGCAATGAGGAACAAAGACCTTTCCAGAAAGAAGGAAATAAACAAACTCTTAAAGAATGACCTGGGGTGTCAGGGTGAGAACCCCAAAGACGCTGACAACTACTGTGCACGGTACAAGGTGCTGACAAAGAATATCGAGTACATTGCCAAGTGCCTCAAAGACCACAAGGCCACCACTGCCCAGGGCAGTGAATGGAGGAAGGTTGCAAAAGTGATCGATCGATTCTTCATGTGGATCTTTTTCATTATGGTGTTTGTGATGACTGTTTTGATAATAGCAAAAGCAGATTAGTGGCATTTGTTATCTAGGGGACAAATCAATAAAATTCCCTGTGATCTGCTCTCATGTGCTTCCAAGCCAGAGTTTTATCCATAGCTAATTGAAGGGTTATGTTGTCTATATTTTGTATTTTAGATCAGTAATATAGCTACTTGTCTGGCTAACTAGATGGTCCAAAGGGTCAAGGATAATAAAAAAACAGCCAAAATCCATTGCCATTCTGCTGATTTTGGGTTTCCGAGACCATACTTTTTTATTTATGGGAGAAGACAGCCTCATCCTTTTCCTGCAGATCAGTTGGGGATTTGAACTACCAACCTTTGGTTATCAGTCCATCAAGCCAGCCCCAGAATCACTAAAACCAAAAACTCACTGCCATTGAGTCTTTTGTGACTCAGGGAATGGCCCCTTTTATATCTTTCCAGACTGACCTGTAGGGTATGCCATTACTCCTCTCTCCAGCAGTTGTGGTTAGGGGCCGCCAAGTTGGGCTTTGGCTAGAGTGGCCCTCTGTACAAGACAACAAAACACCACCCCGTCCTGCACAGCCTCACAATTGTTATGTTGAACTCATTGGTGCAGCCACCGTGTCAACTCATCCTATCGAGGGTCTTCCTCTTTTTCACTGCCCCTCAGCTTTACCAAGCGTGATGTCCTTCTCCAGGGACTAGAATATGATAATATGATAATAAATATGTCTTCTAATAATACAAACGTGATGAAGTCTCACCATCCTTGCTTCTAAGGAGCATTTTGGCTATACTTCTTCCAAGATCAATTTGTTTGTTATTTTGGCAGTCCACGGTATTTTAATTATCTTCTCTAGCATCATAACTCAAATATATCGATTCTTCTTTGGTCTTTCATATTCAATGACCAACTTTCACATGCCTATGAGGTGATTGAAAATATTCTGGCTTGGGTCAGGTGCACCTTAATCCTCAAAATAACATCTTTAGCCATAGAGATCACAAAGTATACCACATTACAGCTCAAATTTTATAAAACAAAATAAATCTGTTTTCCATTAATTCCTACTAAATCAGGTTTTCAGAAAAGGAAATTAATCATACATAGTTTAATGTCATTTAAGTCTCAATGGATGGTACATTTCAAACTATATGTCAAAACTACAATGGAAGATTTTGTCTCATTACCAAAAAACAAAAACAAACAAGGAAACCCTCTACTGGTCACTGATTGATGGAGAAGAAAGCTTTCTTGTTAATTATGATGTCATGTGGGCAAGCTATGATTTATATGAGGGTATTGGCAGTTTAGTGGTAGAATTCTCACACTCCATGTGATAAACCAAGGAGCCCTGTAACATAGTGGTTACCCTTTTGGCTGCTAACAGTAAGGTCAGCAGTTCAAAACCACCAGCCACTCTGCAGAAGAAAGATGGGGCTTTAAACTGACACTCCCCCACCCCCACCCAGTAGAAGTATGTGCAACAGAGGACAACACTAAACCTACAGGTTGGGAAGAGGGGCCAGCCTGCCACACCCACACAGAAGCATATCAAGAAGGAAAAAGAGAGAGAGCGAGGGACTAGACCCCATTCTGGCACACCAAATCCTGAGGATGACAGCCCTGCATGGAGCTGCTAAGGCACAGAGAGGACTGTAGGCCCAACAACATCTTGAGACATGATGTTCCCTCACTGGAGCATCCTGTGACACTCGGACAATACTGGGTACACACGGCGGAGAGTGAGTCCAGTCTGATCACCCCCACGGTGAACCAAGAAAGGAACGTAACATATCAGCAATGGGAGCAAAGCCAAGCCACAAAACACCCAAGGAGCCCCCAAAATAGACTTCCAGCTAGGAGGGGCAGTTCCCAGAACCCCCCAGGACTGGCAGGGAGATAGTCATAAAGGTCAGGGGACAGACCTGGGATTATGTATGCTTTTTTGTTTGTTTTGTTTTTGTGCTAGTTTCTTTTATTTTCTTTTTTCTCTTTTTATTCAATCTGTTGCTTTCTTTTTGTTTGTCTCCGTTATTGTTGGCTTGCCTACCTATATAAGACAGGCATAGAAGCAAGCCCTAGGAGACAGCAACAGGTCCGATGGTTCTGGAGGAACCTGGGTGCATGGGGAGGAGGAGGCCGGGAAAGGAGTGGTGAGCAAACAACGCCAGAGACAGGGGAATAACTAGGGAATTAAAATTTAAAACTAGGAAGGTGTAGAGATCCTGGTGGGTCTCTGTTCCAACTCCCCTCATTCTCAACAATTTGGTTTTTTGTTGTTGTTTTGGGTCTTCTGATGCCTGTTCCCTGATCCCATCAATACCTCATGATCACACAGGCTGGTGTGCTTCTTCCATGTGGGCTTGTTGTTTCTCTGCTCCATGGCTGCTTATTTCACTTCATAAGATTCCAGATGCAATATCTCTTGATAGCCGGGCACCATCCTCTTTCTTCACTACATTTGCTTATGCACCCATTTTGTCTTCAGCGGTCATGTCTGGAGGGTGAGCACCACAGAATGCCAGGTTGTTAGAACTAAGTGTTCTTGCATTGAGGGAGGGCTTGAGCAGAGGCCCAAAGTCTGTCCACTTCCTCAATGCATTGCCAGGTAAATATATGTACATAGACCAATACCTCAATTTTTATGAATTAATGTATTTACATATGTACACACCTATGTTTATACCTCTACCCATAGCTTTGCTTCCTAGATGTTTCCTCTGTTTCCTTTTACCTTCCTCCTGCCCCACAATCATGCTTGCCCTTCTTCTGCCTCTTAGTAATTCCTCTCAGCTAGATTGCTGTTGCTCAAACACCTCCCCGCCCCAGGACCTCTATGATATGTCCTCCTCGTTATTGATTTTAATTCCCTAGTTATTCCCCTGATGATGGCAACATATGTGTAAATATGCTTGATACCATTGATGTATGAATGTTATAAGAACTGGAAGAGCCCCCAAAAAATGATTTTTAAAAAAGAAAAGAAAGATGGGGCTTCATACTCCCATAAAGAGTTACAGTCTTGGAAGCTCAGAAGGGCAGTTCTCTCTTGTCCTGCACAGTTGCCGTGACCTGTAATGGACTCAGTGGCAGTGAGTTGATAGGTTGACTATGTGGTAGACAAGGGTTGATTCCCCAAACAACGAACCCCAACTGTAGTCACCACCCACCTGTCAGAGGAGGCTTGTGTGCTGCTATGCTGATGGCCAGCTTTCCAAACTAAGATGAACTAGGAAGAAGAGCGTGGAGATCTACTTTCAATAATCAGCCAGCGAAAGTCCTACAGATTGCAACCCATCATAGGGATGGAGAATAACCAGGCAGTGCTTTGTTTCTCTGTGCAGGGGGACACCATGAGTCACATGAGGCTGACTCGGCAGCAGCTGACAACAATAACATCGTATTCACGCAGGTGGTTCCTGCATTCAGTGTTTGTTACAAATAAGATCACCCACTAACTAGGCTCATTCATTCATCCAATTCACCAAACATTTGGTGAATTTCTACTGCCTACAATAAAGCTGCGAGATGTACACTGTCATTGTGTGCCCTCTTAGCAAATCTTATGCATCAACCTGATCGCCTTGGATCTTCACAACAATCCTGTGAGCTAAGGCAGGCAGGCATGAAGGTTCCCATTTCTCAGAGGAAGAAATTGTGGCTTAGAGAGGTGGACAGAAGTGACCCACATCCTCAGCTGCAGCCGAGTATACGTGGTGGATCTGGGATTCAAATGCTGAGCTTTGTGACACCATGCTTGGACTATGTCTGCTAAAACAACACAGCTTTGACTGTGACTGCTCATAGTTTGGGATAGGAGAGAATAAGAGACTCATGTCCTTTGTTCTGAGTCTCCCACACTAATTCACTTCTTTGGTTTATCAACCACCTTCTTGCTTTCAGTTCAATGTGTTTTCAAATCTCTCCTCACCCAAGTACCCAAGTCCCCTAACTTGATTAAATGACCCAAAGACCCTAACTTCTAACTCCTGCACTATTCCTGTCATGAAAAAGAACCAGACAAAGAAAGTAAGAGAGGTGGGGAGAAGACAGGAAACACTATGACAGAGAAGAGGCTATGTGATTTAAACATCGTGTTTGTTTTTGTGCTGAAGTTTACTGTTAATATATATGTGTACATATATATATATATAGTACACCTACTATCTACACTTCGTTTGGCTTATTCTGAACATGGATCAAGAGGCAGTTGTATGAATAGAATGAGAGAGTACTGCATGGTTAAAATCAAGAAAGGTGTGTGTCAGGGCTGTAAACTCTTAGCATATTTGTTCAATCTATATGTTGAGCAAATCATCAGAGAAGCTGAATTATCTGAAGAAGAGTGTGGAGTCAGGATTGGACCTATGGCATGCAGATGACACAATCTTGCTTGCTGAAAGTGAGGAGTTCTTGAAGCATTTGCTGATGGAGATCAGGGATTGCATCCTTCAGTATGTATTGCCACTCAGTATGAGGAAGAACAAAATCCTCACAACAGGACCAATAGGTAACTTCATGATAAAGGGAGAAAGGGTTGAAGTTGGAACCACAACCAATGCTTATGGAAGCAGCAGTCAAGAGATTAAAGAAAAAGATGTATTGTATTAGGTAAGTCTGGTGCACAAGACTTCTTTGGAGTATTGAAAGAACAAGGATGTGACTTTGAGTGTGACTTTAAGGTGTGCCTGACCCAAGCCAGAGTATTTTCAATGACCTCCTATGCATGTGAAAGTTGGACAGTGAATAAAGAACACCGTCAAAGCATCGATGCATTTGAATTTGGTGCTGAGAACAAGATTGAAAGTACCCATGGATGAATGAGGGGGGGAGTGCAGGGTAGAGACCCAAAGCCCATTTGTAGGCCACTGGAGATCCCTTTGCAGAGGGGTCTCAGGGAGAAGACTAGCCAGTCAGGGTGCA